ATAAAGAATTTATTCTTTATTTTAAACCATCCTTTGAAATAAAGAATTTATTCTTCATTTTAATCATACCACCGTGTTATAAACACTACCCTACACCTTCCACAAACTTTTCATCACCCTGTGTAGCTAAAAGAATTCCATTCTTGGCATCACAGCAGCTGACAATAAGTGTTCTGAACACTTTGAAGCAAGTGATATCAATTAGGAATGCATGCCAACTGAGTATCAGAAAAATTAACACACACTTACTCATGATTTCCTGAGACCAGGACAGGTAAACTCAAGCCATCAACAAACCCAAAACAACGCCACAGGTAGGAATTTCATCTCAATAACTTGGCTATACTTGCAGATTGTTGACTCCCTTGATGGCCACGTTATGCAGGCGTCTTTAATATCATCAAGCACTCTCAAGAGAATCCATTCCGATGTTGAGGTATCTTGAACAAATGGCCGGATCAAGTCCAAAGAGTTTCTGGAGAGAATATGCCAGCATTGTGGATCTGAACCAGTGTAGGAGTAAGCCAAGACATCCAGCCGCGTCGAGTGATTGTTGAGCCAATTGCGGCTTGCCATTTGGGTTCACGTCCAATCTTCCGATGGTCTCCAAGGCCCATAACTCTGAAAAAGGTCCTAGTAAGATTTTGAAATTCACATCAATCCCCATGGCAAAAAATAATTTCCCGGCTTTGTCATCTTTCCGGCGTCAAGATGCTGCATGTTGAAGGTAATGGTGTTGAAAAAAAAAGCCAATTTATTTTTGCCTTTGTATATCCTTTGAGTAGCAATAAGGCGCTTGTAATCCACGCTTAGCTGTATTGTCATTTGTTGTCCTATAGCCAAGAGTTGTAGTGGATTGTTGTGGCAAGAAAATAAAGTGAAAAAAAAAAATGGAAAAAAAAACAGCTTTGGCCAAAGGCTATACCAGTTTAGACTGAGGAGGCAATGGAATTGTCCATCTGGGAAAATCTGAAAATCTGGAATTTAGAATTCCAGATTTAGTTCTAGCAGGACTTCCAGATTGACAGGAATTCATCCAATTTCTGAATGACAAACCTTGTTTGGTGATGAAAATTGATGACAGTCATGTTCCCATCACCAAGCAAAGTTTGGAATTTAGATTTAGCCCATCTAAATTAGGCAAACCAGACCAATGGGAAGTCCTCCAATGATTCACACAAATGGCGACAGGACTGGGCCGCCTCATAGCCCTTCCCAAAGACTCACTTGTAGCAGCATGCTTTGCCATTTATACATCTTGGTCAAGAACACAACTGGCACCCCTTCTATTTCCTCATGACAGTAATGGTTTTAAACAAAAGAAAGAAAATTAAACAGAGATCAATCAACCAATCAATTTGTTTTCTGTTGGTGTATATGTCCATTGCATTGCCGTAGTGGGCTAGGTATTCAATATACTTGTTTCTTCTCGTGGGAAATAAACAGTTGAGTTGTACACAAACATCTTGATGTACCCTTATCATTTGGCTTGAATTTGAAAGAGAAAAAGAAAACAGTCAGACAAACTCTTTTTTTTTGTGGGTGATCACTTGCCATGCCAAGCTAGCTATTTTTCCTTATTTTTCTTTCTTGATTTATAAAAGATGGTTATATGGTATGTGCTGTCCAAAAGTAGAGAAAGAAAGCGAAAGACATCGAGGAAAAAGGATAAGGAGGAGCTGGGGATATATCATCACGAGCGTAAAAGTTAGCCGGGAAAGCGGAGATTAAAGCTCGGACAGGCCTCTCTTTTTCATGACGCGATGTACAGCCTCAAGTTGAGCCTCAAGGCTTCTGATGCGGAGATGAGTGGAGGGATCAGGTTGACAGACACAAGCAGCAGCGCCAGAGGACGAAGCGGCAGAGGAGTAGGAGGGAGAGACGACAGCCGGATTGGCGGGGTAGTTGGAGCCGGAAGTGGTGTTGGAGGGGACATATCCCGCGGATGAGGACGGGTATCCCGAGCTCGTGGAGGGGTAGTTGGACGAGCCAGTGGAATTATTAGCCGGATAACCTGAGCCAGTACTGGCCGTCGAATCTGGATAATAGCTCGAACCTGGATAGCCAGAGCCTGAGGAGGGATATCCCGCATTGGTGGAAGTGTTTGATGCGGGGTAATCCGAGCCTGACGGAGAGGTGGATGAAGGATAATTGGAGCTTCCCGGGGCGGTTGAGGAAGGATAACCGGAACCCGAAGGACTGGAGATTGAAGGAGACCCAGAGCCAGAGGGGTAATTGGACGGGTAATCAGAGCCGCTGGTCGTCGAGGGATAGTCGGAGCCTGAGGTCGTGTTTGCTGATGGGTAATTGGAGCCGGAAGAGGTGGATGGGGATGGATACCCTGAGCCCGAGGTGGTTGAAGGGTAAGAGCCTGTGGGAACATTCCCTGATGAATAACCAGTGCCAGAAGTGTCCCCAGAGCCTCCAGGGTAGCCGTATCCATTGCTAGAACCTGAGGGGTAATTGGATCCATTGCTAGAGCCTGAGGGGTAATTGGATCCACTGCTAGAGCCTGATGGGCTGTAGCCGTATCCATTGCTAGATCCTGAGGGGTAATTTGATCCACTGCTAGAGCCACCACCGTTGTATCCGCTTCCACCATTTACGTTTTTAAGGAAGTTGGTGATAATGGAGCTCTTAGTCTCAATATTTTGACTGATATTGATGTTGATGGTGGTAGTGCTACTCTGTCCAATATGAATACCATTTGCTCCTTTGGATGGGTTGGAACTCATGAGCCCAATGCAGACCTGCTCGACTACCAAGTAGCTTTCCTGTGTTGTACAACAGGCAGGTGAGCAAGGCGCAGCTACAAGCTTGGGGGGGGGGGAGGG